CAGAAAGTTGTTCTGCTGTCTGGTCTAATTAGCATATTAGCTCTTTATTACATAGGATTTTATTTCCTCTAAAACTATTTTGTAACTACCAATCTGTACTTCTCAGCCCCTTCGCCTTTTCCACCCTGCATGAGTTTTCTATTGCTGTGTAACAAATTACTACAAACCTAGTGGCTTGAAATAACATGAGTGTATGTTTCCCTGGGTCAGAAGTCCAGGCATGACTTAGCTGGCTCCTCTCCAGCCAGAAGGATCGCAGAAGGCTGAACTCAGGTGTTTGCCCGGCTGCGTTCCTTTGAGGAGGCTAAACTGGGGAAAGATCCACTTCCAGGCCCCGCAGGTCAGTGAAAATGGAATGACTGAGGCCCCATTTTCCTGCTAGCTGTCAGCCAAGGCCTGCCTCCGATGCTATAGAACCACCCACAGTTCCCCACCATATAGACTCTTCCATAAGCCCTTCCAAATCATCCTAACACCCTGTGTCTCTCCGGTGTATGACTTTTTTAAAAGGGAGGATTTGGTCTGTGTAACATTTTCTGTTATTAGATGGCAAATTTGACTAAAGAAGGAATGGATGAGTGATAATCAGCATAGCAATGGAGGATATTCAATAGCCTTTTCAAAAACGCAATAGAGAAAGACAACCAAGTGACAGAAACAGGTTAGGAAGGAGGGCTCCAAAGGAAAAGAGATGAGGGTTTGAGTCCCAGACCTGCCACTTGCCAGCTGTCGAACGTGGGCCAAGCCCTTTGATGGGCTCTCCTGATTGAGTGAGGCCCTCTGAGGATAACCTCCTCATCTTCAAGTCAACTCTTAGGACCTTAACTACATCTGCAAAATCCCTTCACAGAAGAACAGATTGGGGGTTGCCAGCTCGGAGGGGAGTTAGGAGGTTAGATGAGAAAGGATTAAGTACAAATGGGTGATTACAAAATAAATAGTCATAGGGATATAAAGAACAGCATAGGAGCCGGGACCGGTTTGGCTCAATGGATAGAGCGTCGGCTTGGGGACTGAAGGGCCCCGGGTTCTATTCCGGTCAAGGGCATGTATCTTGGTTGCGGGCACATCCCCAGTAGGGGGTGTGCAAGAGGCAGCTGATCGATGACTCTCTTTCATTGATGTTTCTAACTCTCTATCTCTCTCCCTTCCTCTCTGTACAAAAATCAATAAAATATATTTAAAAAAAAAAAAGAACAGCATAGGAAATATAGTCACTAATATTGTAATAATTATGTATGGTGTCAAGTGGATACTAGACTTATCAAGGAGGTTAATCTATAAATGACATAAATGTCTAACCACCACCCCCCAAAAAAAATCCCTTCACAGTAGCACCTAGATTAGCCTTGGATTAAATAACAGGAAGAAGGTAGCTGTGCACCAGGAGATGGGGATTTTGTGTCCGTGTCAGAATTCTGCCTCCCATAAACCCAATGCGATGCTTCTCTCCTGGCGAGGGTATTGTATGTTACATCCTTCCCTGGCATCTATCTTTGTTTTCTCAGTTTTTTTAATCTTTTTTTTTTTTTTTTTTTTTTTTTTTTTTTTAGCAAATACTGTTGTGTGTCACATGGGATGGTGACAGCGTTTGGTAAAATGATGATAATAGCTGTCATTTTTATGAGGACTTAACCGTGTGCCAGACATCATTCTGAGGTTTACATGCACCATCTCATTTAACCGTCACCACAACTCTGTGCAAAAGGTGCAGTCAGTATCATGGGCTACAGATGAGGAAACTGAGGCTGGACATGGCTAAGTGGCGTGGCCCACGTTTGACAGCTGGCAAGTGGCAGATCTGGGACTCAAACCCTCATCTCTTTTCCTTTGGAGCCCTCCTTCCTAACCTGTTTCTATCACTTGTTGTCTTGCTCTATTGCGGTTTTGAAAAGGCTATTGAATATCCTCCATAGCTATGCTGATTATCACTCATCCATTCCTTCTTTAGTCAAATTTGCCATCTAATAACAGAAAATGTTACATAGACCAAATCCTAAAAAAAAATAAAAAAGTCAGATACCAGAGAGACACAGGGTATTAGGATGATTTGGAGCCTGACTTGTGTTAAGGATAACGCGGTGTGTGGCCGCTGGCATTTTAATGTGCCTTGTTCTTGGATTCTATGATATACTTTGCTGCCTTGTTTTATGCCAGACATTGATTAATACACTTCATAAAAAATAATACTCACCAATTTTGGAGAGCAACTTCAGGTCTTCTTCCCAGAGCAGCCGATCTGTGTCTGCTGGAGTCAGAATAGAAATGCTGTGCATCTGCCGAAAACTGATGTCCCCTGGCTGGAAATAGCACTTATGTAGGTGACACCCTCTCCTCATTGTAGCCAAGGACTGACCTGCGCCACTGTCTCGAGGAGGAAAATAAATAGAATGGGAAAGGTGACATTGACAGCACCCTCTTCTGAAAGGCATCTGCTTTTTGATAAAAGGACAAACATGGCATTGATTTATGTTTTAATTGTAAGCTGAATCCCATAAATGAGCAAAACTACATAGAGTGCTCTCAGGCCACAAATTTGGGAAGAAAGGCCAACAGTGTGAGACCATGTTGCCTAGAACATTCTTATTTTCTCCTCCAGCTGCCCCTCTAGATGAGCTAGCAGCAGATGGATCTGAGCTCCAGCCCTGAAGTTCCCATTGGAAACTTCAAGTTATGCTCCCACTTCACTTTTCTGATTGGCGTGAACTCTTCACCCTTTGAAATCTGAGATCCAGAGAAGTTAGGGGAAGGCCTAAGGATATGGTGGGGGACCCAACCAACAAGGTAGCTTTGGCAGAGAGAAGTTAGCAGTTCCCTATGCCCACCTCCCTTTATTCTTGGACCCAGAGCAAATCATTTCCCAGACTCCTTTGCAGTTAGATGTGTATGTGTGCATGACTGAGTTCTGGACAGTGCAAGTGGGAAGAAGTGTTGTGTACCACTTCTAAGCTTGGTGCATAAAATCTTAGCACGTGACCCTCCCAATCCCCATTCTCTTCCTTTTCTTGTTGGCCCACTGAATGGCAATGTCCAGAGTGGTTTAGAAGCCACACACTACACATGCCAGAATCTGTTTAGCTGGGGTCCTTGAATGACTGCATGGAACCAGAGTCCATTCTCATGTCTGGGACCATTTGGAACTCATGTGAACCAGAAGTAAGTTTCTGTTGTAGTAAGCCTTTGAGCATCAGGTTTTGTTGTTGTTGTTGTTGTTGTTATAGCAGCTAGGATAACTTTATCTAAAATAGTAGCCTAGAATCTAAAAGCTGAAAGTAAGAAAGGCAAATAGTTCTAAGCAAGGAGAAAGGCTGGTTCCTCAAGCATAAGAAAGCCATTTCCATGTTGCTTTCAGTCATGTAAATGGTATAAGTCAAAAACTCTATCTACTCTGATAAAAATGCTGATGAAATGAAGCTACATTGATCCATTTCAAGAAAATCTGCAGAAAATAGAGACAGACTCATAGACAGAGAGCAGCCTGACAGCTGGGAGGGAAGAGAGGGGAAGAGGAAAGAGAAAAAAACATTGATATGAGAAAGGCACATTAATTGGTTGCTTCCCACACTCGCCCCAACCAGGGCTGGGGGTGGAACCCAGATACATGACCTTGATAGGAATTGACCCATGACCCTGCAGTACGTATGCTGACATTCTAACCATTGAGCACACTGAGCAGGGCTTGTTAATATTTTAAGATAAAATTTTAAACAAATGCAGCATAATCTGGAAAGACAGACTTTGCTTTCTGTTTTCTTATTTTAATACTTAACAAGGGCTAACTTACTGTGATTAGAAAGAAAATTTTAGGAAAACATTGAATGCTACAAAAATCAACATTTTTCCCCACAAACATTTTTGGAATAGATCTAATTATCATACAAATATCCCACCTCAGCCCTAGTTTATCTATATAGTGTAGTACTTAATGCTGTTTTCTCTTATGTCTATGTTTCTGGAGATGCCCCATATTAAAAGCTCAGGAGTAATGATAGGACTCTTGACATAGAATTAAATCTACCATTTCCATTAACACCGAAATTAAAGAAAAAATTTCATCTACATCCTCATTATAAACAATGTGTCATCTTGAGAATTGTTCTCCTTTGTTTCGTTTAACTTACTTAAATACAATCTATTTAATCACCTATGTTGTCTAAAACATAGTTTTTATAAAGTTTTTGAAAGTCCATATAGACTTTCAAACCAAGACAAGCATGATAGATAAGTCAAGTCTGCACATGTTAGAAGATGGTAAGTACTAAGGGGGGAATAGAACTGGGTAAAGGGGAGCAGGAGTACAGAGGGAAGGTTTTCCATTTAAAAGCTGACGGTCAGAGCAGGCTTCATTGAGAGGTAGTGTTTAGCCAAAACCCTCAGGAGGAAAGGGAGTGAGCTATGAGGATCTAATTGGTTCACGGGAACAGGTTAGTGAGAGTCAGCTTCCTCTCTATAATTTCCACCTCCTATTATATATTTCACAATAAGTTTGGAATTTTAGCAAATGAAATTCTATTTATTATTATGGAATAATAGAAATCGAGACGACTTCCTATACTGTGTTTATTCACAAAAGCTGTTCCTGCTCACTAATAACATTACCAAAACCTTGCGTTTGAAAAACTTGTCTCTGGAAAATTCCATATTCCAGAAAGGATGTTGTACCTTCTGCGAATATCTCAGAATTTGGTAATTAAAACAGATAATTGGGACCAGCGTGTTAGAGAGCTGGGCTGGCATCTAGCGAAAGCGATGTAAAGGATCCTCACCGAGCCCTCAGGAGCCGAACTGTAGGCTTGCTCTTCGGAATCAGATTGCTTTTTGCAAAAAAGAGAGAAGCCAACAAACGCCCAGCTGCTTTGATTTGAAAAAAATAAAATGATAATGTTTGATGTTGAGCTGCATGGTGCCCGGTGCCGGCCGTTTGAAGGGCAGACGGCTTTGACACATGCAGAAGGGAAAGCCAGGAATAGCCTCCTGTGACCGTGTATCTTGTGTTGCAGGCACACAAAAAGTCCCTCTGGACGGTGGAGCCCAGCGAAGGCACCGTTCCCCCGGAAGATGATATCCAACTGACACTGACCGCCAACCTGAATGACATACTGATGTTCAAAGACACGGTCATTTTGGAAATTAAAAACAGCAACACCTACCGGATTCACGTCCAGGCTCTAGGAATTGGTTCCACCATTGTTTCGGATAAGCCCTTTGCTCCAGAACTCAACCTGGGAGCACATTTTAGGTAGGGGAACCTCCTGGATGAATTTTCTTTCTCTTTCTTTCTTCCTTCCTTCCTTTCTTTCTTTCTTTCTTTCTTTCTTTCTTTCTTTCTTTCTTTCTTTCTTTCTTTCTTTCTTTCTTTCTCTCTCTCTCTCTCTCTCTCTCTCTCTCTCTCTCTCTCTCTCTCTCTCTCTTTCTTTCTTTCTTTCTTTTTTTTAAAATATATTTTATTGATTTTCCACAGAGAAGAAGGGAAAGAGATAGAGAGCTAGAAATGTTGATGAGAGAGAAACATTGTCCAGCTGCCTCCTGCACACCCCCTGCCGAGGATGTGCCCGCAACCAACGTACATGCCCTTGACCGGAATCAAACCTGGGACCCTTCAGTCCGCAGACCGACGCTCTATCCACTGAGCCAAACCGATTTCGGCCTGGATGAATTTTCATAGATGTCACCTATGTTGGCATAAGCTGAGCATCACCTCTATTTTAGAAAACTGCTTTTAAGTAAATTACACTAACCTCCATCCTCCCACTTTCCTATCTTCACTGTCCCCCTCCAGATGGGCGCAACAGCCATTAGAAGACACCCCCCCCCCCCCCAGTCACAGCCTGGTTGCTTTCTCAAGCTGAGTCCGTCTACGCTAGAGAAGAGATGGCTCATAGGCAGTGCATTATTCTCTCACAGTGCCTTCTCGGTGACTGGTTTAGAATCTCAACCATGATTTCTCCTCTCTTATTTCAAAATGCTCTGAATCCCTCTCCGTGTAGGTCCAAAATACAGTCGCATCTTAGTGGTAACCTAAGTAAGAGTATAACTAGGAAGGTAAACACGTACTGCAAATGTTTCTTATCAGGAATTGCAAAGCAGTAACTTTTTTGGTGTTTTGTCTTCTGCTTGCCTCCCCACTATAGCACCAACTATCAAGAGGGCTGCAATTGGCTCTACCTGATCTTTTTTTTTTTTTTGGGGGGGAGGGAGGACCAAAAACCTAGAACATCTCAATATTTCAATAAAAGGTGGTAGACTATAGACACCCCTGAGCAGAATGACCTAAATATGGCTCTAAAAACGTATGAAGTCTGAATGCCAATGGGAGGATGTGTGTGGGGAGTCATTCATGGCTCCCCAGCGGCAGGGGCCAGAGGGATGTGGGCCTGTCCATCGTGATACTGTGAACAGGCCTCTGGTCTAACAGGCCCCGCAACCAAGATGGACACACGTGCCGAGAAAAGATGAGCCCCGCCCCCCAAAAAAAGTCAGTTAGAAGCCCTCCCCACAAACCCATTCATACCCCCTTTTGCCTCTGTTCATCTACAAACCATGACTTGATTGAAAATGGCATGAGCCACTAGGAATTATGCTTTCTGAGAAGCATCCGTTACAGTTTTGTGTTAACGAGATATAGAAATGCTCCTTTCTGCCTATTTCCGCTAGAGCATGCTTCTATTTTCACGTTTCTCTAAGTATACTCAAACATAATTATAGAAACAGTATGCTGCGAACCCAACTTGATTACATGGTGTTCTCTGTCATCTACAAACAGGGCCAAATAGCCGCAAAGGGTATTCTGTCACTTGCCAGGAATTGGGAGGGTTGGCCTATAGTTTTCTATGAATACAGAAGCCAATTGTGGCTTTTTAGCTGTCAATTTCCCTTCTGCCTAAATCCTACCATTCTTTTTGACATAAAATCATGATGCCAGCAATCTCCAAAAGAATTGTCAAAAGCAGGGGACATAGAGGGTGGTAGATGGCATAGAGGGGATAAAGGGTGATGAAAAAATTAAATTACAGTTTTAAAAAGGGAAAAAGGAAGAGGTGGGCTGTTTCTGTAAATAAAGGCTTTTTTATATTTTTATTGGTTTCAGATAGGAAGGAAGAGGGAGGGAGAGAGGAAAGAGAAAGAGAGAGAGAGAGAGAGAGAACATCAATGATGAGAGAAAATCATTGATTGGCTGCCTCCTGCATATCCCACACTGGGGATCAAGACCACAACTCGGGTTTGTGCCCTTACCAAGAATCAAACAGGGACCTCCTAGTTCTTAAGTTTACACTCAACCACTTAGCCATATAGGCCAGGCTGTAAATAAAGTTTTATTGGCATACAGCCATGCCTATTTGTGTACACATATTTTCTATGTGTACACATATATTCTATGTCTGCTTTCACACTGCAGTGGACAGTTGAGTAGCTCTGACAGTGACCATGTGGCCCCCAAAATCCAAAATACTTATTATTCAGCCTTTAGCAGAAAAGTTTGCCAATTTGGAGACATAAAGGTCAAAAAGAAAAGAAAAAAAAGAAAAGAAAAGAAAAGAAAAGAAAACAAAACAAAACAAAAAAACCTATGCCATCTCTTTTGATTGCATGTTTTGGGGCAACTTGCTTACACTTTCAGAGCTTCCATTTCTTCACTTAGAAAGTGAGCAAATAATACTTGGTATATCTGGGTTGCTGTGATGATTGAAAGATGTACTGCGAATAAGTTGGTCGTTTCTCTCTAAAGTACCCTTCAAACTGAGCCCATCACAAGACATTTCCCTCAGTCCATAGAAACTTACTCCACACAATTTGAAATACACTTCTCCAATAGGCATTTTTGCTTTTGCTTTCCTTTAATTCTCTTCACAGCCATTTGTCATAAATTAGAGTGGTTTTCACATGAACTGCGTCCGTGTATTCTGCGGCACGCTCGACCTGCTAGGAAAGGCAGCAGATGGGTGGGACCACTTTCCCACGTCCCCGTCCCTGGGGAGGACAACTCAGGGGCCACACTCAAGTCCCTGATTTGAGTTTAGGGGGGGCCGTGAGCAGTACCACGATGCAGCCTTCCTACATTGAAAAAGTTATCTATTTATTGCTCACTCTTCAAATACTTCCAGAGGAGTCCATCCCAAAGTGTAGAGCTGAACAGAGCATCCCAAATGAGTCCTCTCAATACCTGCCTCTTTTCCAGCCTGGACACCTGCTACTACCACTTCAAGTTGACCAACAAGGGACGTCGGGTCCACCAGCTATTCTGGATGAATGAAAGGTTCCACCCCGAGAAAAAGCCCAGCAAGAAGGGTGCAGCTAAGAGGAGACTCGCTAAGCGCCCCGGCTCCCGTGAAGCCAACCGCTCCCAGAGCCCCGTGTTTCAGCTCCAGCCCGTCAGGATGGAGCTGTATCCAGACCAGACGGTCGATGTGACACTTGATGGCTATTCTGCTACTCCCAGGGTACGGGGACAGCGTGTTTAGAACCTGTCTTTCTCCTAAGCAAATCTCTGCTCTACGTCTTAGGCGAGTTCCTTGACATTTATCCAAAGAAAAGATGTGGTTTCTTCAGCACACGGCCCCGAGTTGCCATGGCAGCACCCATCGCTGTGACGGCTCGGTGCTGCTGTTTTTATGTTTGCTTCTACAGCTGCCACGAACCCATCCTCAAAACACTAATTAAAGCAGCTTCTCATCCCCAGGGTCAGCAGTGACCAGCCAGCAAGTCTGTGGGAGAGGGAGAGTCAGCCTTCAGCCCAAGCCAGGCCTCCCAGGAGCAGTTAGCCGTATTCACATGTGGCCCAAAGGGTGTGTTTGTAGACACTCTGGGCTGCCGTTCCCACCCAGCTATCGGAACATCCCAGGCTCCTCTCCCCTCAGTCTGACATAGCAGCATCACACTTATAATCATCATCTTTTAAAAAATATATATTTTATTGATTTTTTTTTTTTTTTTACAGAGAGGAAGGGAGAGGGATAGAGAGTTAGAAACATCAATGAGAGAGAATCATTGACCAGCCGCCTCCTGCACACTCTCTACTGGGGATGTGCCTGCAACCAAGGTATTATACATGCCCTTGACCAGAATCAAACCTGCGACCTTTCAGTCCGCAGGCCGATGCTCTATCCACTGAGCCAAACTGGTTTCGGCATAATCATCATCTTCTTATAGGTCAGTGAAAGAGCTGCATGTATCTTCCGCAGCTCTGATGTTCTCTTATTTACGTCATCGCCATTCTGTTTAAACGTTTATTCAGATCTCTGTCTGTCCCTACTCCCTCACGGAGACTGGAAACCATCAGAAACCTAAAACAAACAAACAAAAACAAAAACCTTTGTAATAGCTCATGAGCCTCTCCTACCTCACAAACGCAGACTTTGTGAGTGAGGACCGATGCTTGCTTGAGCTCCCCCAGATTAGGAGGTGAGGCTGAGTTTTCTCCTCAGGAAATGGGAAACAATAAGAAATTCACCTTCCAGCAGGAAGGATAGCAAAGCTTGTCCACTGCTTCCCTGTGGAGTGAGTGTATAAGGTGTCCTTGGTCTCTGCTCCTCAGGGGTTCAGCCACTTTCTCCTGAGTGTGCACCATGTGGCACACTGCGCTAGGCACCAAGGGCGCAAAGGTGACTAAAACGCAGCCCTCCTTTCAAGACCCGACAGGAGCACAGTCACAGTGTCACGATGGGCAGCTGACCATATCTTCAAAGGCATTCAGCCTGAGCTGCGAGGGTTCTAAATCCAGTGTCAGCTTCGCTAAGAGAGAGTTGAATTCATTCACATCTGAAACCTGAGCGAGCTTCAATGCGAGCTATTCATGATATAAATTCATTTTGGGTTCTTTCTACTTCATACAAATCTGGACCTCAGGGGAGATCAGGGAGCAAAGAAATACTAGTTTCTATAGCACGATTTTGAAATATTTCTATAGCAACATTTTTTAGCCACAGTTTCTGACCAGCTTGATAAGAAATAGAACTATCTTTGAACTCTAATCCCATAGGATTTTATCTTCCCTGTCCATCACTAGTTGGTATGTCCAATCCCTGACAGTTCATGCATAATACACCTTCCATACAGATATTCGTTGAGCTGAATGTAAATTGATTTGTGTCCCCGAGAGCAGTCAGAAATGGACGCAGGATCCATCCAGGACATAGTTAATAAATCAGACATTTAAGCGTGAGACAGAGCGGCACCTGAAAGGCACTGTTCAGAGACCCGTGTTCTTCCCTGGGGTCCGCAGGCAGGTAGCTGAGCGTCCGTTTGCTGGTTGTTTGGAACTACGTTTTCTGAGCCGTGCATGTCCTCACAATGCTGGTGTTTCTCCTCTGCAGTTGGTCAAGGAGAAGCTGGTGTGCCAGGCCATCATCGGGGCCCAGCGGGAGCGGCGCCTGGTAATGACCGTGGATATCATCTGTGAGTTCATAGCGCCGCTCATCCAGCTCTCCACCAAGAAGCTCGTGTACCGTCTGGAGAAGGTCAGTGGGCGGTGCTGGGAGGGGTTGGGTGCTCCAACCGGGGTCAGCGAGTTCACATGTTCACTGGAGAAGCTGGGTTAACAGGAAGCCTGGTGTACCCACACCCACCGATGTCTCCTAAGCTTCAGAGGCCCATACACCTTCCTCTAAAAAGTCTGAACCTGAACCTACATTCCTCTGAAATGTAAATCTCGACAGAAATTCTGCTCCCATCATTCCTGATGTACAAGGCCAAAGCGAAGGGCTATTTATTCCAGTGCACTGTGGTCGATCATTTTACTCTAGTTAGAAAAAGTAAACATCACAGTATAGAAAGGATTGGACTGGAATTATTGATAATCATAATTATCAGAAAGAACAGCTACACCATGTTGATTGGTTTGTGCTGGGCACTGAGCTATATTCATTACATACATTTGCCCAGTTGTCCCTCACCACGGTCTGTGCTATGGGTTCTGTTATCATTCCTTGACACATATGAGGAGACCGAGATTCAAGTTATTATGTGGATCAACCAGCACTGAGAATAGCCCACTATAACTCGCATGTTTAAGTGTATGGCTCTAAATGCCCGTGACTTTATATGGCCGTCAAGGGCGAACAATAAAGGGAAGGGGGTTGTTAGGAAACAGAGGAGTGTTGGGGATGACTGCTGCTCAGGGCAGGGGGCAGGATAGAAAGAAGGTGAGGGAGGCATCACAGTAGAACTTGACCTCCTCTTCAGCAGACTTCCATCGTAGGATTTTTTTAACATTCAGAGCAGGTCGTCCCAGAGAGTGAGTTAGTGCTGACCACCTGGTGAACCAGGGAGACACAGTCAAAGCTATGAGACTGGTTGAGGTTACAACCATAAGCCAATTACTAACATTTAGTCATTTAAATTTCAATTCTAAGCAGTGCTGTGAAGAAGAGGTGTAAGTTGCTATGAGAGCACCTATCAGGAGAGTGGCTTTACTTGTACCTGTGGTGACAGCTGGCTTCCTTGAACAAGTGCCTCGGGTTGAGACTTGAAGGAAATCTGAAGTTAGTCTGGTGAGAAGAGACAGGGAGAGAATTAGGTAGAAAGCACACGGGAAGGGCCGAGTCAGGAAAGAGCTTGGTGAGGAAATGAAGAACTGAAAGGCTGCCTTAGATCTAGAAATGCCAAGAGGGACCATAGGTCCATCAGGAAAAGTGGGCAAAGGTCCATGAGTGTGGCATGACTGGGAGGCGTGTTCTGGGAGGCCATTGGGCGGGCTTCAGGGAGGGGAGTGACATGGTCAGATTTATTCATTGAAACAGTCACGCTGGCTGCTGAGTGGAATATGTATTAAGTCCTACTATGTGCGCCAAGCACTGAGTCAGCTGCTAGGGGTATAACAGTGAGGCTAGTCCCTTCCTGATGAACTACACAGCCAGCTGGGAAGACCAAGCATTAAGTACGTTGTCCCACAGTGTGATCTCTGCTGTCATATGAAAGGATTGGGTGTAGCAATGCTAATCAGTCAGGGAGGACATCAATCAGAGTTCCTTTCATTCTCTGGAGGCTAGCAGGAGAATGGGCAAGACCATTTATTCTGAGAGTGGGTTCCATCATACTTTGTTTGTATTAAGTAAATATCTAATGAGCACCCACCAAGGGCATGGCACTCTTCTGGAGATGAATAAGGAGTGTATAATTGAGGAAGGGAATAGAAATGTACAAGTTCAAATAAACAAATAATTTTGGGGCATTTACGGTGTGTGAAGTAGCAAAGACACCACAAAATCCCAGGCTTAACGGACTACTGGGGAAAGTAGACACTGAGGAAGCAGAATAAGGGTTTCAGTTACAGGATGCTAAGCTAACTGTGATGAGGTCCATGAGACATATAAAAGGAAAATACTACAAGAGTCTCTGCTATAGTTATTAAGCTTTCATTGCTCTGTTTTAAATTCTTCCTTTTATAAGCAATCAGGAAAGATATTTGTTGGTGGCATCTGCACCAAATTTGGTGGCATCATATTTTCTCTGAATGTAGCTACTGAGTGAAAATTCAGTGAATATTTATTGAATAGCTATTCTGCATAAGACATTGTAGTATATATTAGACATGCAGCTTTGTTTCTTATTAGATTTTTTTCTAAGCCCATAAACACACATAAAAACGTGTGGATCATGTTCCTTTTATTCTCTTTATATCCTTCAGCCTTGGTGTTGTTTTTCTTTTAAAGCATATTCTTGTTTAAGTGTTTATTGTTGGACTTTATCACTCAAATAAAATAGCAAATACTTTAATATGGCAGTGACTTATTAAATTACGAAAAGGAACTGAGTCACAGCTCCCTGTTTGATTTTATCCTTCTCTCCTTCCATCCAAATATTACAAGTTTGAAATCTGTCCAGCTCCTGCTATTCTTCATTGTTCATTTCCTGCCCACATTTAATCCACGCCAGGGACAATGAAGAATTGCAACTTCATTACCCAGCGTGTGCAAGAGACCTGTTCAGGCTCAGTATTCAGATGTACTTATATAACACCCAATTATTGAGTCTGTCTCCTATTTTCAGATCAAGGCAGCGTATCTGACTTAGCACATGAGACCATAATGACACCCACACTGCCCTATGGGAAGCATTTTTCTAGGACCGTTTCCTCAGATATGATCTACTTTCTAACTATTGTACCATTCATAAGCCGCAGAGATGAAACCACATCTTTGTGGAATTGAAAAGGTCAGTCGAAACCAGCAGCCAGTTTGCTTCATGAAGTCCAGCAGCAAATCCCGTCTCCTGCTGTCTGGGGAGACAGACAACCCGGAGAGAAAGGGGTCATTTTAAAATAGAACGAGTTCTCTGTGCATCGCCTCCTTCTCATCACTGACCTCCAAATGGCCTCTTGCCGCAACCAAACAAGTGTGGCTTCTTCACTTCAAAGCTACCTGTAGTGACACAGCAGTCTGGGGGAAGGTCACTGGGTAGACAGTTCCCCACGTGGCCGTTGATGACCCTCAAGTGCTGGTTTATCCCTCCCACAAACTGGAGAATGCGATCTGCAAATGCAGGGTGAGTCCAGCACTTGTATTAGCGTGTTAGAGGGAGGGGAACCATGGTTGGCATCTCATGGTAAGTGCCAGAGGCTAGTGGATCACAACTGAGGCAGGAGGCTTGAGCCAATCATCTGGACTGAATGGCTGTGTCTCCCCAAATTTACATACTGAAGCCCTAATCCACAATGTGATGGTGTTGGAGATGGAGCCTTGGAGGGGGGGGGGTGATTAGGTCATGAAGAGGGATGGGGCCTTTATGAATGGAGTTAGTGCCCTTAGAAGAAGAGACATGAGAGAGAATCTCTCTGTCATACATGTAAGGACACAGTGAGAAGACGTGCCATCTACAAGCCAGGAAGCAAGCTCTCCCCGCACACCAGATCTGCTGGCACCTTGATTTTGGACTCCCCAGTCTCCAGACTGTGAGACATAAATGTCTGCTGTTTAAGCCACTCCATATATATTTGGTATATCACCTAAACTAAGGCATAATGGATACTAATCACACGAGCTCGCCCGGAGCCAGGGGATCCAAGAACCACAGTGGAAGACTATGCTGACCAGAGACACAAGTTAGATGAAAATGTGGAATCAGAAAGGTTTAACTGAAATCTGAACAAGGAGAAAAAGCAAATCAACCAAAGAATAGATATGCATATATGCATAGACCATGGACACAGATAGTAGTGGAATGATGGCGGGAGGTAGGTATGAAGATAGTGGGGGCTGGGTGGTGGGGGCAAAGAGGAAGGAGGATTTGAGGAGCATCTATAATACTGTCAACAATAAAACAAAAAGAACTGAGAAAAACTGGCTGGAGTTGTTAGAAGAGCCAGGGAATGATTAGAAGGAGGTTCTGTTTGGAGGCCATGGATTGAGGCTTCAGGTTACCTTCTGCTGGTATCAAAGGACCTTCTTTCCAGAACACGCAAGAAATAAGGTGACCCCAACCTCAGAATGAGAAAAATTCAGTCTGAACAGCAACATGCAGCTTGGAACCCATTTCCAATATTTTCTCTAGTTGAAAAATTAAATTAGATGTTCAACAGAGTAAAAAGATGCTTCTAAATCAAAGTTAGCAAGGAAAAAGTTAGAGAAAAGTGTTATAGCATTTGTCAATTTAATAAGGTAAGCATATTCACAATTGAGTGTTTTGAGCATGGGAAAAAATATTGTAAAGGGAATAAAAGTTTTATCCTTTAGAGTGATAACATGGGTTCTTGTACAAGATATCACTAATTTCTTAGCTTGCTTTATGACATTGTGGAAACTTCTATAGTAATAGTTCCATCCAGAGGCATGGCTTATACCGGCATGTTTTTAACCAGATGACAGGAGAGTAAGAAATCTAATCTGGTTTCTGACTTATATAGTCTCACTTCTCAGTAGTCCACCATGCATTCCAAATGATTTCTCTCAGTCTCTCTAAGAGAATAAAAGCATATGCTCATGTGTTTGTATCTGTGTATGCTCAGATATATATGAGACTTTTGCTGCTCTAGCCCTACTGTTTGTCATAACTTAGTTTGCTGCCTCTTTTTCCTTGTTTTTGCAGACACCACAGACTATCTTGCAACCTGAGTACCAGCCGTTGGTCATGAAGAACATTTCCACGCTGCCCGTGAACGTGTTGCTCTCAACAAACAAACCCTTCTTCATCTGTGACACGGAGAGATCGCCGTTGCCCCTAACTCCAGAGGTAACTGAGGGAGGATGGTCCTACCATGCTTCTGGAGGGAGCGGGGGAGGGGTGTGTGTGTGTGTGTGTGTGTGTGTGTGTGTGTGTGTGAGAGAGAGAGAGGGGGGGGGGGGAGGGGAGAAAGGAAGAGAATGACAGCAGTACACTAATTTCAGTCCAGAAAAAACAAAAACAAAAACATGAAGAATCCAGAAAACAGTGAGGGAATAATAGAGAATCTTAAATGAGTCCTAAGTAAATTCTACTGTCTCTGAGTAGAACACTTGTTATTAATGGTGTAAGAACTTCTGGCTCATTATGATGACCCTTTCATTGTAACGAAGCTAATCTTTAGAAAATAGTGACTTCACACTATCAGATTGGCAAAGAATAAAGATTGGATAGTGCTTAGTATTACAAAGGGTATATGGAAACATGGATTCCTCTATAGTGTTGGTGAAGTGTATATTGGGAGACAATACGGTAGTAGCTATCAGAATTTTAAAAGCCAGGCCTGCCTGGGTAGCTCAGTTGGGTGAAGCAATTGCCCGTATACCAAAAAGGTCATGAGTTCAGTTCCTGGTCAGTGCATATACATAGGTTGGCTTTTTAAAATTAACACTACAACCAAAAACAACTGGGAGGTGGGGTAAGCATTAGCTGACTTCATCCTCTTTATAGCTAGGTGTCAATAAGATACTATCTGAAGATGAAACTGCTTAATATTTAACCATATTTTTATTGATCATAAAGGGGTAACAATAATAGTAATATTTGGCATTCGTATACGGTAAGCACTGCTCTGAAGACATCACCTGTATATTGATTCATTTCATTCTCTTAAAAAGGGGTAGGTCCTGTTCTTGACCCTATTTTACAAATGGAGAAACTGAGGTCTAGGAAAACCAACTAACGTTGCCCAAATTCATAGAGCTAGTAACCAGCAGGCCAGGGTTTGATGCCACACCATCAGGCTCCAGGCTCCATGATTTTCGGATTAATCTGTCTTGTATAAGATTTCTTTCAGGCTTCTTTCTGAGAAAAAAAATTCAAACATGATATTTTGAAATAAATGAATCTAACTCTATTTTTGTAAATTTTTACTAGTAGTTATCCGTTATGTCTGGACTAATGCGTATCAAGTATGAACTCTTGAGAAATGATATATGGTGAAATTTTGGATAAGTTTCTAACTTCTTCTTTGTGCTTTAATATATAATATAAAATTTTGAGGATATGTATCTTTTCCACAAAAAAAGTAATTTCTCGGGGGCAGGAGGGGAGGTGTTTAAGTCAATCTTCAAAGATACTTAAACACCAAGCATGGAGGTACCAAGTGCTGCAGATGCCATTATCTACATTATGGTCTGAATTGTGCCCAGCCAGCTGTGCCAAGCGGCCAGCCAGGCTTTCAGATGGGATTAGCTAACTGAAGAGCCATTACCCTCTCTCTGACTCTTGGATCAGGTGATTGGCAGTATCACCTGGAACCATCTAACCATGCACCGATGCACACAGTTAAATAACTGAAGCTTGAAACTCAGTGGAGAGGGAAAGCTCTGTAAACAGATTCGCCCTGTGTACATTCCTCCCGACTACCTCTGGGCACTTGCTGCAAAACCAGGAGGTGGCTTTTATGCCAGTTAAATGTGGGAATCGAGTGATCCCTTTAAAAAAGCCAACTCATAGCCAGGCTTCCTATGGGAAGGTGTTACTGTGGTCTTGGCATCAAGGAACACATGGGGATTTGAATCAAAGAGAAAAAGAACAAGGGAAATCTTCCCAGCAAACTCAGCACAGCTCCGGAGTGTCGTTTGAAGTTGACCAGAAAACAGCAGAGAGCAGATAACCCTGTGCTGAAGAGTTAGGATCACAGACATCAGAAAAGAAACTACCCAATCCCACCCTTTCTGGGTCATCCTCTACAGAGCCCCTCGCTTTAGCGAGCCTTTCTGAAATTCTTAAGCAAAGAACTTTTCCCATTACCTGGGAAGAGCATTTTACAATCTAATTTATTTTCAGGTAAGAATATTTTTATAATGGCTATTCATTGTAGATTTTCCTTTTTACAACTCAAACTTTATTACCTCGCAACTCTTATCAAAATCTCTTCCCTCAAACAGTCCCCTCTCCAGATTTTCCTTGGTTTCATTTTCAACTAATAAAATACGTATGCACGCACATATAAATGTCTATAATATTGATAAATATAACTATTGATATCAATATAAATATACTAGCTATTTAATCGTGTAAGTGGTGATACCTAATTATGGACAAATAAAGTGATATATTTATATTTAATAGTAACATGAATGTGTGGATGTACATACATAAATATATTTAAATAACGTTGGCCATCCTGTTTCAGGTTGGAAATGCATAGTACAAAGGTTGGTAATTTCCCCTAATCTTATTTGCAGCCTGTTAAGCTGGAGATTGATGAAGAAAAAAATCTTCTGATCAAATTTGATCCTACCCACAAACGCGATCTGAACAACTGGGTGGCAGAAGAAATTCTAGCGATCAGGTACCTGGAGCACCCTCAGGTAGACAACCTGAGCCTGCGCGGCGAAGTGCATTACCCCAATCTGAAGTTTGAGACCATGGACCTGGATTTTGGCTGTATCCTGAATGACACTGAGGTGATCCGCTACGTTCCCATCACCAACTGCAGCCCACTGGCTGTGAAGTTTCGCTGGTTCTTCGTGATGAACAACGAGGGAAGTCAAATAAGGTACCGCCAGCGTAGCTGTTCTAAAGAACTCTTTTTCTGCTGTTCGTTTTTTGTGTTGTTGTTTTTGTTTTGTTTTTTTCCTCCTTCATGCTTTGCACTGGGTTCCTATATTCTGTGCACTGGTCTTGCACGAGTACTTTTGGCTCTGGCAACTAATTATTGACAAAAATAACGAAGAGCCTAATCTCAAGGTCCCTCCTAGATTTCCAATCAAGAAAAACAGACAAAACATCTTTGAAAGCCCCAGTTGCCACCAAATTAACAGAGTAATTGATATCCATAAGCCTGCTTTAATTTTGAATCTATTATAGTAGCTCGATCATTAGAAACTTGTCAGTAAAAAAATAAAGTCCCTGAACAGTTTTCTTAATAAGCATTTCAAAGCCAAAGCATGAATTACATAGCACAATACACGGAGCATGTGCTGCATATTTCAGTGGGTGGGTGGGTTTTATCCTGGCATCGTAGTACATATGCAGTGGGAGGTGGGGAGTGCCAAAACGGAAAACTATCTTCACAATATTTATGTTTAGAGGTATCTCTCTCTCCTGTTCAATTAAATTTAAATTCAACGAGGACCTAAATCCAGACTTAATTTGGAAAACACTCCTTTAAAAAAATATATAAACAGCCTGTTTTATTTATTTATTTTTTTAAATATATATTTTATTGATTTTTTTACAGAGAAGAGGAGAGAGGGATAGAGAGTTAGAAACATCGATGAGAGAGAATCATCGATCAGCTGCCTCTTGCACACCCCCTACTGGGGATGTGCCCACAACCAAGGTACATGCCCTTGACCGGAATCGAATCTGGGACCTTTCAGTCCGCAGTCTGGCGCTCTATCCACTGAGCCAAACCGGTTTCGGCAACAGCCTGTTTTAGCCAGGCCGCAGGAAAGTTTTTATTTGGGTTAGTTAGCCTCGTTGGAGACCAGGACCAACGGGCTTCCGCCTATTTCTTCATTTGGGTGTTTTGACAAGTGTTTTCAGCACTGAGCGCTGAGTGGCCATACTTAACTAAGGAAGCCTCGTGTTTCCTTGGCTTGTGGGTGCCTTCCTCATCTTGTCCCTGACAGCCGCCCTTTCCTTCCCAGCACCGTTACCATGGTAGCGATGGCTTGCTCGGGTGTTTTCCATAGAAGCGAAGGACGACCTAGCATAGCCAGGCCTTGTCCACGCTGGTAGGTGGTGTCCTTTGCCTCTCCGGCATTCACTCGTTCATTTTATCACCTGGACTGAGGGTCTGGCCTGAGCCATGGAACCTGGTCTTGAGGTGTCAGGGGCTGTTTAGATTTGAAGTGAAATTCCTCAGAGGATGCACATTTAAAGTAATTATGGAGAAATCAGCCAACCTAATTAGCTGCGAGTACCAGATTCTGTGAAGTTGTTCTCATGTAACAGCTAAACGAGTCTCTTCCACCTGGGAGCAAGGGCCGGGCTTTATTTATTTATTTATTTATTTTTGAGAAGACATTTCCATAATTAAACTAATCACATTTTGAAAGTACGCTTGACCAATGCTATGCTGTAATTTTCTACTGCTTTAAGGATTCATTGAACCAATCTTTTGCTTTCATCAGTATCTTCTTATATCTTGATATTGAGCTTCTGTTTATAATTTTTCATTCATTCATTCATTCATTCATTCATTCAGAAAACATTTGATAAGTGATTCTTTTGCACCAGATAATGTGTGAGATTGGGATATAAAAGCAAATAAGACATGATCCCTGGCCTGAGACTGTTGGGGAACCACACGTGTAAACCAGGCTGTAAGGAACGACATGGGGGAGGAAGTCAGGGAGATGTGGCAGGGTGTGTGAGAGGCCTGGTATCTCAGGATAAGGAGTTTAGGCTCTTCCTTGGAGGCGGTGGTGAGATTCATAATCAAGAGAGCAAAGAGATTAGCCAAAGACACAGACAGCCAGTGAGGTGATGGCCTGAGGGAAGGGGGTGGGCCCTGGGTGGAGGTGGGCAGAGGAGGGGAAAATGGGGACATCTGTAATAGTGTCAGCAATAAAAATTAGGTTCCAAAAAAGGAATATATATGAGAAACCACTAAACTTCAGACAGCAGAAAAAAAAAATTATTATTTTCCACTTAATGAGGCTTTAGACATAAATAAAAGGACATAACCAATTTAAAAAGAGAGTAACAAGAGTCAAGTTTTTTCAGAAAGATGCTTCTTAGCAGTATTCAGCACAATTACCCAATCCCGCCTTCCTGAGACGCGTTCCTTCCCTGGCTTGACCAACACCCTTCTGCCCTATTCTCCCCTCATCTCCCAGCTCTCGACCAGCAGCAGCCCCCCGGGCGGGTGGGACCCAGGGTTCCCTCCCGGCCCTCTGCCCTCGCTGACAGTTGCTCTACCCCACGGCCCCGCTTGGCCCGTTGCTGAGGCTCACACAGGCGTCTCCACCAGACCCTCTGCTGACTTCCCAGGGCACCACCTTCCTGACCTCTCCTCCTGACGTCTCCCGGGCGGCTTACTTCCAACTGGCCCACACCAGCCTCAGGCTCCGCCCTCGTCTCCTCCGGCCTCTCCTCTCGGGCCTCTGTCCCGGTAAAGGCATCCCTGTCCTGGAGCTGAGTCACCCAGCTCCTTCCTCACCCTAGCCCCACCACTTCGTCAACTCCATCACCAAGTTCTACCCAGCCCGCCTCCTAAAGCCTCCCATCCCCATCCCACTGTGTCACCCCCCAGTTCAGCTCACCATTGTCTCCTGCCTAGCCCATCGCGACGGCCCCTCCCTGGGCTCTAAGCTGTCACTCCTGCTCCACAGTCCGTTGTCCACACAGTAGCCAAGGGGCCGGTGTGGCACTGCCTGGGTTTCCAGCCTTTCATGACACCCCTGCTTCTTAGGAGACAGTACAGGATACTTCAGCAGAGCGAGTGCCGGTCCTGCATTTCTCTCTGGTTTCGTCTCACCTCACTCTGCCATCTCCACACTGACCTCCCTTACGGGCCTCTTTCCGGCCGGAGCTGCTCCCATCTGACTGCTCTCTCTCTCTCTCTCTCTCTCTCTCTCTCTCTCTGCTGGAAGCTCTCCCCCTCTTCCTAGTGAGCCCCTTCCCCCATCGTGTCTCAGCTGACACATCCTCCCTCAGATAAAAGCCCCTGCTGTAGGCTCTGGGAGCCAGCTCCCTGGGGCCTAGCTCCATTTGTAATAACGGCTCACTGTCCAGCTTCCCAGGAGGCCAGAGGGCACGTCTGTCCCGCTGCCCGTGGGTCCCAGGGCCCCGCACGGCCGGTGGCACAGAGTGGGCCCTCACAGGGTCGTTTTTTAATCAGCTGCTCCCCTGCTCTCGTGTGCTGAGCGGAGAATGGTTGCATAACTGGTTGAAGATTCTTTTCTGTCAGCTTCCTGGCACCTGCCAAATGGAAAAGGTTCAAGGCATAATGTCACCTTGAATAGCAAAAAAATAAAATAAAAAACAAAAAATGCCACCCGCCTTCCAGAAAGGCTCCCTCGGTGCCCGCGTCAGAAAAACATAAAGAACTCGCTGGCGAAAGGTCACTTTTATCAGCTGGACCAACACTAACCTTTTTTCCCAATTATAATTCTTCTCAGCAGCGCAGTTAGTAAACGAAACAAGAGGGTAGAGGAGGCTTTTCTTCTTCTTTTATTGCTGCAGGGAGTGAGGATGCCTAGATTCTCTATATTCCTTCCTGCTGCAACACCCATACCTCTGCCCTGTGTGTCTGTGTGTGTGTGTGTGTGTGTGTACATGCACATGCGTGTGTGTGATTTTGTAGGCAACTTCGACTCATGTATTTAAAGAATCCCTGTTGTTTGAGCATTTTTTTCAAGTCGGCCCTCCTATCACATATGGGAACAAAAATAGAAGTAACATGGACAAGCATGCTAACAAACACTCGGTGAGAGGGAAAGGCAGTAATTAGCTTTGAAACGTGCTCCTCCACGTGAGTCCGTGTGTAGGACAGGGCTCTGGGTGACTCTGGTGAAGGACAGTCTGTGCGCTCACACACACACACCGCACACACAACACGTGTGAGGAAGCCGAGCGTGCACCGGCCCAGCCAGCCCGTGGGGATGTGCCCTTTATAGGCTGACTGTGCAGCTGGACGGGAGCGTGATGTTTCACGGCATCTGTTTGACAGAGGAGCCCACGGAAGCCCACGCTGGAACCAGCCTTCGCTGCTGAGCGGCCAGGGAGAGCCAAGCAGATGCCGGCTTGGCTGGTACCTCTGCCCAGGCTCAGCGCCGCAGAGCCGAGGCGATGCTGGAACTTGGAGCGCATGAGCCAAGCGGTCTCCAAGGACAGCTTTGCCTTTTGACTTCCAAGTCAGATTATAAATAAATCGAACACGAGGGCCTGAGGGAGCCCAGCCCTGGAGCAAAGGAGCATGTGTTGTTCGCACATTGATTTTCCCGTGATGAGCATAAGTTGTCCAATATTGTGATTCGGAGAGGAGAGGGGAAGGGCTGGAAGGGGGTGGAGGAGGCCTCATTTTCTGGATGCTTCCATCTGTCTCTTCATCATCCCTCAATTTCTTGCCAGTGAACCTTTTCTAAGATGTGATATATCAATGGTGGTTGGGATCGTGGGCTGTGGTTGGACACGGCTGTTTAAAATCCGGGCTCTGTCCTTCTGGCCATGTCTTTCTGGACCATCCCTGGGCTTGGGTCTACTCAACTGTAAGATGGAGATAATGTAGGAACCTAAAAGAGTTGCTGTGAGGATTAAATGAGAGATGCCTGTAACGTGCATATGTCTCTGAGGTAGGAAAGGAAATCAGGAATTTATTTCCTGAGGGTGCCTTCCTCTCTCTCATACCAAGTGCTGCTAAGTGAAGTGCTCTCCAAGATCCTAACGCAGGGCAGGGAACGTCCGGCCAGGCCTGCAAAATCATCCGGTCTAGCCCTGCCAAGGCATTAGGGGTGAGTTAATTAAGTGTTTGACCAAATATAGCAGGCTAATTTTTAAATTTTTTAAATGTATATATATATATATATATTTGTATTGATTTTGGAG